AGGATAGGTACTTTTTTTCCCCTCAACATCTGGCACATGATAGTAAAAAATAAATATTTGTTGAATGAACTAATGAAAGAATAGGTGATTAAAAGGTCATAAGGGTTAAATTATCTCTGTTCAGAGTCTCTCTAATTATAGGTTGCCCCTGCATTTACAAAATTCCCTGAAAGTCTTACAACAACCCCTTTAATATGTGGTGCGTATACATATGGTATAGATACTGGTTGTTAAAAATACCCAACTTCCCCACTAGAACAAAAGAGCAAATAATTAATTAAACCTTTACTTTTCCCTCACAAGTCTTTCATTTCTTTTTTCCAGGCACCTAAATTACAGATTATTTACTTTTTCTTCCTTCTTGACTAGGAGAAAGCAGACATTTATCAATACAAGGGGTGAAGAAGCAGCAAGAATTGGAGAGGAGAAGAAGAAGAAGAAGTATGTTGTTCCAACAGGAAAGGACTGGAAATGTTCAGTTCTGCCCAAACTATGGACTCTGAGAAGAAAGATTCATTTGTTGTGCACCAGGAGAAGGAATTTATCCAGTTAGTCTACCCAGGACCCAAATGTTATGAATAATAAAAGTAGCAGCCATTTACTGACAGGATCTTCTCCCACACTCCAGGAAAGAACTTCTGCCTTAATTCCTGACTTCTGCACCATGCCCTGCTCATTTTCCCTCACTGAAAACTATTATACTAGTAAAGGGCTTTCTGGTTTCCTCTTTGGAGCAATGACTAAGACCTGCCTGCCCAATCAGAACTGTCCCATAACAACCAAATATAATGCTGACCAGTCAGGACTGTGAGAGTCAGACCAATCAGAAGTACAGATTTGGATACCTCATTTCATAAAATGGACCTAATTGGAAACCTGGGCCAGCAGAAGCCAGCTTCCCCTTTGTCTGGGGAAACACAATTTAGGTTGTTGCCTGAATCTGAGCCTCCTGAATTGGAGCTCTATTTCCTCAAATAAGCGGTTTCTTTATATTCTTTATTTCAGTCTAAAATTAATGTTGGTTTACCAAACCCAGAAAGACCTTGGGCAGAGATGAAGAAAAAAAGAGAATCCACACTATAGAAACTATGGCCAACTTCCCACTCAACTGTGTCTTCTTAGGTGGGATTAGATTCTGGAAGTTTCTAAGTGTGATTTGTCTTTGCATCTTGCTCTCAGAACCACCAAACTCCTAGAATCCCCTGGCCCAAAAGAAAGAACTGAGACCAGTGGGTGAGTTTAGACCAGCAGGAAAAGCTGAGATTAGATTTCCTGGTTACAGTTGACAGTCTGGGATGGTGTAAAAGGAAAGACAGGCAAGGGTTGTCGGGAGCTTCAGACAACCGAACAGATTAGTTTCATTCTACCACTAGGACTAGGTGAGGGGTGGGAACATGGGCTGTGGGAGGCATTGGGGGGACCTTCTGCCACCCATTTCCTCCTCCCATTTCTCCTTCTCTCCAGGTCTTGGGCAGGAGGGAAGGTCTTGGACCAGGTGGGGCAGGACCCTGGCATGCCTCTGAGCACAGACAGCCTACTCTCTTCTGTTTCCACCCTACTCTCCCTCACCTCCACGGGTGTGCCTTTCTCTGGTCATAACCCTTGGGCAGAACAGACATTAACTGCTGCTAAAAATACCCCCCTGGAAGGCTCGCAGTCCCTTCTCCCCGAGTGGCCTGGGTACTGGCCAGGGGCACACAGCTACCCAGATCAGATATCCCTGCTTGGTGAGAAAGACAGGACAACCTGGGCGGGCACCGGACAGCTCTGGAATAGGTGGCAATAGGTGTGCTAGCGCTCAGAGCCCTGAGCGCCGGGGGTCTGCAGGGGGCGACCACGGGTGCCTAGGAACTCCCCCTGGGCTGTTTGCCGGTGGCAGGAAAGGGGAGGGTCACTGTGCCTTGCATTCCTTAGGCTTTGGGAGGAGGCGAGATTGGCGGGTCTTCGGGTCAGACAACACACCCTCCAGAAGGATGGGCTCCTTCGGAAGAGCAGCGATGAGATCCCCTGCCACCCGCTCTCGGTGCCAGTGATCTCCATCCCAGGAGTGTGCAGAGGGGATGCTGCCCCGCCCCCCGCCCCCCAGCTCCAGTCGCTCCAGGTGGTGTGGACGGGGCGAATCCCAGAGCCACGCTCCGAGCCGTTCCCGCCGGTCCGAAGGGGTTCCACGGGACCATGGAGGCCAGAGAGCTCCCCCTATGCCTCCGATACAGAAAGCCCTAGCCCACCGGGCACCTCCAAAGTGTGACTTTAGCTGAAAAGTGCAGGACGCGAGTGTGGCTGCCTCCCCAGGACGCGGCGGGGTCCTGCGCTCCCTCACGGCTGCCTCACCTCTCCATGGCGCATTTGGGGGCTGTTCTCCTAGGACTCCTAGGGCCCCAGCCCCTTTCCTTCCCCGCAGGGAAGTCCCCTGCCCTCTGTGGTAGCGCGGGAAGCCCACCCCACAGGGTTGAGACAGAAGAGGTGGGTGGGAAACTCCTACCCACTAGGAGGGCGGGGGCGAGGGTAGTAGAACCCTCGTCCGTGCCCCCAGACAGTGAAAAGGAGGGGTCCCCGCGCTCCTCTGAGTAGGGGCTACTCTAGGAGGGGGTCTTCTCCCTGATGGCGGGGAAGATTGGGAGCACCTCTCAACCCCCCGCAGCCCGCCGAGAGGCTGGGGGCACCGGCGTATGGGAACACCCCGCCCTGTGGCGCTGGGGCCTGAAGCCACTACCGAGGTGCCCCCTTCCTGCCAGTGTTCACAGTACATCGTGGACTGCGGGAGAGTTC